GAGTCGTCTTTATGCTAGGCACTAAAGGTCGCAGCCAGCAGCAGCAGCAGCAGCAGTATCAACAGCAGCAGCAGCAGCAGCAGTATCAGCAGCAGCAGCGAGGCAAGTTCTCACCCGTTGGCCGTCCGGTGTGTGGACACTTGTGGGGCCCCTTGCAACGCTGGTGTAGCTGCTGCTGCTGCTGCTGCTGCTTCGCAGCCACAGGAGCAAAGCTTTGAGTGCGTCAAAGACCAGCAAAGCCATTTCGTCAACGCTTTTGCTGCTGCTGCTGCCATTGTTCGCACCGCCTGTGGGGGGCTGCTGCTGCTGACGCTGCTGCTGCTGCTGACGCTGCTGCAGCTGCTGCTGCTGCTGTTGCTGCTGAGCCACAAACTGGCAAGCCACCATAACAGCCAGAACACGAACATGCGGCGGCTGCTGCTGAGACCTCACAAGTGGCAGCAGCAGCTGCTGCTGCAGATCATTCACACTTTCACCACTGCTGCTTTTGGAGCTGCTGCTTTTGCTGCTGTTGCTGCTGCTGCAGAAACCTTCTAAGGGAAGAAGGCAGCAGCGCAGCTCAGCGAGAGCCCGTGCAGCAGATGGTATGTCAACTTTGGCATTAGCTGCCGCTGTTGCTGCTGTTGTTGCTGCTGCTGCTGCTCCATCCGAGATATCTCCACCTGCTGCTGCCCGGGAATTTGCCGGGCCCTCAGCGTCGCAAGACGCAGCAGAAGCAGCAGCAGCAGCAGCAGCCGCAGGTAAGAGAGAAGCGCTCCTCACTGCAGCAAGGAGCTGCTGCTGTCGACGGGTACCTACGGAGCATAGCGACGTCCTGCAGCAGCAGCAACAGCAGCAAAAAGCTCTGTCTTTCTTTTTGCTGCTGCTGCTTTTCAGGCGAGCACTCTGAGCTGCCTGGCTAGGCGGTTTTATGTGACCGTCACTGCTGCTGCTGCTGCTGTTGCTGCTGCTGCTACTGCTGCTGCTGCTGATGGAGGGGTCCACTCGCATGCGCTTTGTGTTGCTGCCGTCGCTACACTGCCCACTTTGGTGCTGCTGCTGGCGCTGCAGCTGCTGCTGTTCGTGCTGCTGCTGTTGCTGCTGTTGCTGCGGCTGCTGAGTATCGCTAAACAGAGATGCAGCAGGTAGCACCTCGCCCTCTTCCACCTGCCCTTGCTGCTGCTGCTGCTCTGTTTGCTGCTGCTGCTGCTGCTCCAACGGGTTCTGTTCCTGTTCATTCCGCAGCAGCAGCTCCTGCTGCTGCCTGGGCTGCTGCTGTTGCTGAAGGGCGCGGAGAGGCAGCACCTTCGCGAGAGTCAGCAAAGTAGAAATTGCATCTGCTGCTGTGTGGATGGTGCCTGCAGCAGCAGCAGCAGCTGCTGCTGCTGCTGCTGCTGCTGCAGGGCTTGTTGAGCTTTGGAGAGACGCTGGCTGGATACTACTTGCTGCTGCAGCTCTCGCCGGCAGGCTTCCAGCTGCAGGCGCAGAGGCAGATGTGGGCGCAGCAGCAGTAGCAACCGCGCCTGCTGCTGCTGCTGCTGGAGCTGCTGCAGCAGCAACGGCGTCACTCATGGAGCTGCGTCGCAGCCGCTGCACACTTTGTTGCGTATGCTGAGGGGCCGAGCTCACACTTTGCTGTTCTGTCTGTTGCTGCTGTTGCTGCTGCTGCGGCGGCTGCTGCTGGCAGTGGCGGCAGCAGCGGCAGCAGGAGCAACTGGGTCGCTGCTGCAGCGCCGCACTAAGGATTGCCAAAAGAGCAGCAGCAGCAGCAGCATCCCCAGCAGCAGCAGCTTGACGCAGCCAACCCAAGACTTCTTCCTCCGAGATAAGGCAAAGCGTCGCTGCTGCTGCTGTTGCTGCTGAGACCGGTACAGGAGGGTCCACGTGCTCCTGCTGCTGCTGCTGCTGCTGCTGCTGCTGCACACTTGCACCAGCAGCAGTAGCTGCTGCTGCTGCTGAGGCTGCAGTGTCTCGGCCTGAGCCAGCGCCTCTTGATGCTGCAGCGCGTGCAAGGCGGGCCTTCAGCAGCTTTTTCCAGTCGCCGCTGCCGCTCCCACTGCTGCTGCTGCTGCTGCTGCTGCTGTTGCTTCTGCTGCTGCTGCTGCTGCTGGATTCACTGGCGCCGCTGCCTGCTGCAGCACTTTCAGCAGCAGCAGGCGAGCAGCAGCAGCAGCAGCACAAAACAGCAGCAGGCAGTCCTGGCAAGCCACGCGCAGAATGGGCAAGGGCGCAGTGGGGCCCCGCAATTACCACTAAGTGCTGCTGCTGAAGCAGCAGCAGCTGCTGCGCTGCTGCTGCTGCCACCGACAAAGGGCCCCGCTCTGTCAATGCTGCTGCTGCTGACGCAGTGCTGCTTCCTTTAAACAAGTCGGGCCCTGCCAGCACGCTTCTCAGGCAGCTAACCTGGCAGCAGCAGCGGCAGCAGCAGCAACAGCAACGGCACAGCAGCAGCAACAGCAGCAACAAGCGGCGTAGCTCCAATAGCAACAGTGGGGTGCAACAATGACATCTGCTGCGCGTAAGCTGGTGACGGTGGTCTCAGTTGCTGCTGCTGCTGCTGCTGCCACTGCTGCTGCTGCTGCTGCTAAGTTATCGCTGCCAGAGCTATTAGGGCTGCTGCTGCTGCTGCTGCTGCACCGCTGCTGCATACCTGCAAGGGGGCCAAAAAAGGGTTGGTGAGGGCAAGCTGTGAAGCTGCTCGCAAGCAGCTGCAGATGACGCAGAGAAATGGCTCCTCTTCACTAGCCAGCAACTGCTGCTGCTGCTGCTGCTGCTGCTGCTGCTGCCGCTGCTGCTGATGCTGCTGCTGCTGCTGCTGCAGCAAAACAGCGGACCTGTTGGCAAGGGCCCAAAGCACTCTCAGGGCCCACACCGCCACTGCCTGAGAAGAAGCCTACGCAGACAAAAGTTTGCTGCTGCTGCTGCTGCTGCTGCTGCTGCCCCTGTTCTCCAGCGAACAGTCTATTCGTGCTGCTACGCATTTACACAGTGACGCGAACTGCTGCAGCGGCAAAACGAACGCAGCAGCTGCTGCTGCTGCAGTAGCAGCTGCTGCTGCTGCAGCGAAAGCAGCAGTCGCAGCTGCAGCAGCAGCAGCAGCTCACCGGAATCAGGGGAGAGACACAGCCAAAGGCAGCAGCAAGAAGAGACAGCCGATGCGACAGAGGGGGCAGCGAAAGGAGCGTGAGGCTCTCCAGTTCTCCCTGCTGCAGCAGCTGCTGCTGCTGCTGCTGCTGCAGCAGCTGCAGCAGACTGTCACCCGGCGCGGCTTCCCCCAGTGCGGCAGCATGGCGCTGCAGCTGCGCGGCCTGCTGCAGCAGCTGCTGCTGCTGCTCTGCTGCAGCAGAAGGCAAAACAGCAGCAAGAGAGAGCCGCAGCACGGACACGCACAAGTCCCCAGGCAGGTACGGGACAACAGCAGCAACAGCAGCAAGAGCAGCTACTGCTTCCGTTGCAGCAGCAGCAGTGGGCGTGTACAGCTGCTTTCTCGCGCTGCTGCTGCTGCTGCTGCTGCTGCCGTCATGGCTGCTGTCCCCTGCACTCCTGCTGGGCGTGAGACTGCCTCGGGGCGGCTTGGCCTCAGTAGCAGCAGCAGCAGCAGCTGCTGCTGCTGCTGCTGCTGCAGGTGGCGCGGCTCCCCAGAAGCCAAAAAGATGCTGCAGCAGCAGCCACAGCAAATGCGGCTCCTGCAGCACGAGGGCAGGGGCCTTCCGCAGCAGCGCGAGCCCGATGAGCCTAACTTGGGGGTGCTGCTGCTGCTGCAGCAGCCGCAGCAGCTGCTGCCGCACCAGAGCAGCAGCAGCATCTTGCGTCGGCAGCAGCAGAGCAGGCAGCAGGTGGCTGCAGCGGTGCAGCTGCCTATACACTCCAGCCCTCACCAGAACGTGCTGCTGCTGCAGCAGCAAATCCAGCAGCAGCACGAAGCACTGAGAAGGTATAGAGCCGCCCACTAAGCTGTAAGGACACGGCGTCTTGTCAGCAGCAGCAGCAGCAGCAGCTGCTGCTGCTGCTGCTGCTGCAGGGGCGGGCCGTGCTGATCCCTGTGCTGCGCTGGTGGACTCTTCCTGCTGCAGCAGTTCCAGGCGCTGCTGCAGCAGCTGCTGCTGCTCCGTTGCTGCTGCTTGGGTATCCCGCAGTAGCAGCAGCGGGGGCCCCCCGCGGCGAAAGGCAGCAGCCCCAGCAGCAAACAGCAGATGGCCCAAGTCGTGTACGCACTGCAGCAGCTGCTGCAGCGGCAGCTGTCGCTGCTGCAGCTGCCGCTTCACCTGCAGCAACAGCTGCTGCTTCTTGCAGCCTTCAGCAGCAGCAGACGCAGCATCTTCCCGCTGCACGTGCTGCTGCAGCTGCTGCAGCTGCTGCAGCTGCTGCCACTCACGATCCGCTGCGCTCAAGGAGCTCGCCTCCATAAGGCCCCTCGTGCTGCTGCTGCTGCAGCCGCTGTTGCTGCTGCTGCTGCTGCTGCGCTGCCTCTCTCCTCCTTCCCAGCCTCAGTCTAGGGGCAGCATTTGACTTCAATCCCAATTAGCTGCATGCTGCGGTGTATGTACACCTCAAACACACAACCAAATATACCAAATTTCCAAAACAAAATTCAAAAATAACGAAAAATTACAACAGAGGCCCCCATGGGGCCCCGAAGGCCCCCTGGGGACCCCTCTGCCTCCTTGAGGCCCCCAGGGGCCCCTCGGGGGGCCCCCTGGGGGCCCCCTGAAGAGCTCAAGGGGCCCCCTGGAGTTCCTGGGGGCCCCTGGAGCCCCAAAACTTATATCGGTAATATCTAAATTTAAATTAGAGATAAAATAAACACTTTATGTGCGTGGCCTTGAGATAGCCGCTGCTGCTGCTGCCGCTGCTGCTGCTGTTGCTGCTGCTGCCGCTACTGCTGCTGCTGTTTGCTGCCTCCCAAGGGCTGCCGCTCTTGTTTCTTCGCGTTGAGCTCCGCCGCACGCCTTTGGTGTGGCGGCAGCAACAGCAGACAGCAGCAGCAGCGCGCAGCAGCAGCAGAAACACCAGCAGCAGCAGCAATAGACCCAGCCGCAGCTGCACAGCGCAGCACCAGCTGCGAGAGCGCAGCAAGGAAGGCAGCAGCAGCAACTGCTGCTACTGCAGCAAATGCGGCAAGAGCTTTCACGTTGCTGCGTCGCGCTGCTTTCCCCTGTTGCCTTCGAAGCTGAAACTAAAACCCCAAGCCCGAAACCCTAAACCCTCATAAGCTCGCTAAACCCTCGCTGAAACCCTACACCCTAATTGAGGCCTGGAAGCCTGCCTTACCTCCTAATCTCGCGCTCACAGTGTGTAGCCTAGGCTCTAAGCAAAGCCCTGCTAAACCCTAGTTAAACCCTAAACCCGCGCTAAACCCTAAACCCTGAACCCTAAACAGCCGCAGCTCCACCCAACTGCATGCATTAAAGGATTCTATAAAGCCTTAAAACCAGAAAGTGGGGCCCCCAGGGGCCCCACCTTTGGGGCCCCCACGGCTCCCCTGGGGGCCCCCACGGGCCCCACTTCTTGGGGCCCCCACGGGCCCCTTGGGGGCCCCCAGAGGCCCCTTGGGAGCCCCCAGAGGTCCCTTGGGGGCCCCCAGAGGCCCCTTAACACCCTGTGGGGTCACTTGGAGAGCCTTTGGGGCCCCTTAGGGGGCCCCCAGGGGCCCCATGGGGGCCCCCAGGGCCGCTTGAGTACCCCAAAGCCCCGAAGACCCCTTGGGAGCCCTCCGGAGCCATTGGGGGCCCCCAGGAGCCCTTGGGGGCCCCCAAGGGACCCCCAGGAACCCGTGGGGGCCCCAGGGACCCCCAAGTGAGCGGATGGGGGCCCCTTGCTTGGTGAGGGGGCCCCCAACAAGGCTAAGAATTGGGTACCCTTTTTCTTTGGATGAGTTCAAAGCGAAAAGAAATTAAAAGACATAAACCAAATTGTAACAAAGAGTCCAAGATAGAACAAAGGTCTGCAGACGCAACAGCAGCAAAAGCAGCAGCAACAGCAGCAATTGCAGCCGCAGCAGCAGCAACAGGCCGGACCAAAGAAAAAAGTAGCAGCGAAAAAAAGGCGAAAATGATCAAAAAAGATGAAAAAAAGGAAGAGTATGTGTGGCCAGAAGCTGATAAAAACGAGACAACAAACGATAAAAATAAGGCAAAAATAGCTCTAAAAACAGGAAATAAAAACGAAAACAAAGAACATCAAAAAACACTTCAGCAAAAAATTAAAAAGGAAAAAAAAAGAGCCAAAAAGAGCCGAAAATCATCGAAAAAAATGAAGAAACGCGGAAGATTCTGCGACCAGCGGCTGATGGAAAAGAAGTACAAGGCGATAAAAGTAGGCCAAAAATAGCTCTAAAGAAAAGAAACAAAGCCGAAAACAAAGAAAATTAAAAATGACTTCAAGAAAACATCAAAAAAGAAAAAAAGAGCCAAACAGAGCCCAGAATTATCCAAAAAGAAGAAAAAAAGACTTCGGATTACCAGAAGCGCTGAGAAGAAGCCGCTGCAGAAGGGCTCCAAAGGCCGCGCGAAAAACGGCGAAAAGCCGCAGCCAAAATTTGGCAGCAAAAAGGCCGGGGCGGCGGCGGTGAGGCCGAGGTACAGGAGGAAGCCTTGGCGCAAACCCTAAACCCTAAACCCTAAACCCTAAACCCTAAACCCGGGGATC